TAAATAAACATATATATATATATATATATATATTTGGAATTTGGAAGTTACTAAGTTACCATATGCTAAGATAATAATATAAAATGTTGGTTAAATATGAAAAAATTGTGTATCCCATCTTGTTCGTCCACATGATACAATCTATTATTTGTATCGGAAAAAAAAGACAGAACTTAGTAAAAGTTATGTAATTAAGGTCATGACTGCATACTTTTAGTCAGTATGATAGAATAAACTAATTTGTTTTGTGACGGAGTAATTAAACATAAATGCATCAAAAAACTGTAAAATTTAAGTCAATGTGAGATAGCATGTGCAAATGTGATGTATACGTCAGTAGTTCCTAAATGGTGCTCAGCGAAGCCATGAGGTTTCGTGGAAGTATCGCAAGCTTCCGAGAGATTTAATTTTTTAAATCAGTAGTTATTGAAGCTTGTAATTATATTTCAAACAAAATCAATCATAATTTTTTTGATAGTTTAGTTATTTTTTATGAAATTGTTCAAGTAAAATGCCATCGAAATTTTTTTTTTATAAAAATACGCAATCTCGTCGAACTTTTCAATCAAAATAAAATGACGAAATTTAAGAATAATGAATCATGTTTCACTAATAACTATTCTCAACGCTTAAAAGAGTTCTTTATCGAAAGCAATAATTCAGCTTATTTTATTTATTTTTAGATAATAAATGCATCTTGAAGAAATTCTGAACTAGACTAGACAGCACTCCAGGGCTGCGAATTCAACTGCTTGACATAAAACCTGTTATTTTAGGAATTGTATTGATAAAAATGGAATGAAAAAAAAAAACTCATTTTTCTCATTAAATATTATCAAAATAATTGGCAGTGTTTTTATTTTTTCGGTCGATATGCTAATGGCTGCTAATAAATTTTATTCATATGTTTGAGATTCCGTCAAAATAGGCTCGATCATTTAGTGTTCCGTAGCCGTAAGAAATTGGAAACCACTGCTCAGCACAATTAGCTATGATAATTTGTGAAGAAAGTTATTCACAAAGTACTGAAGTTTAAATGTGCATTAAAAACGTTCATTCTTCAAAACATTTGTTTTAAACAAAAATCAACAAAGATGTAGGTTGCCAACACCTCCGAACTAAAGGAAGGAGTTGGCAGGAAACCAATTAGAGGGGGGAGGATGGATCAATGGAAGCTGATGTAGTTACCCTTTCCATAGTTTTCCGCCACCTGAAGACCGGAATTCCGGTGGTTCCCTCCAAATGTCCTTTCGTCGCTCCGCACATTTATCACTCGTGACATTGTGGAGGTGCATTTCAACCTCACCTCCTCATTCTCGTCCAAGTGACTCCGCTGAACTCGTAGGCGGAGGCCGAGAACCGACCTCCCCTCTCCGTCCTCGTGAATCAGTGGTGGATAGTGGACCACAGATTCATTTGTAATCTGTGAATGAGAGAGACAATAATCGATTATCTCCAATTGGAAATGAGGTATTGAAGAGAAAACTGTGAGATTTATGATCGCTTTTGAAATTATTGTTGAAGCGTCGGGGACACCAAGGGGTGATTAATTTTGAAATGGTACTTTTAATAATTAATAATTGGGTCTCTCCCTTCATTAACTCCAATGCAAGTTGCTCGATTTAGATAATTTTTAAGGAGTTGAGGCAATTACTTGTGCACCCTAAATTCAGTTTTGATGGTTACATAATTCTAAAAATTTGCCTTTGAGTACATCAAATCGTTTCCTGTCTTTCGACACAATTTCACGCAAAGAATAATAGTTATATGGGGAATAGGTAATGTAATTATAAAAGTTATCTTAAAAATTAATATGTCTGAAGCTAAGTGATTAAACAGGTTTTTAAATGAATTCAATCAATTCGGCTTGGCACATTTACATATATTTATTAGAACGAGATTTAAATAAATGTGTAATGAAACATTGCACCTGAAAATATTTCCATTTCAAATATGATTCAAGAAACATTAAAAGTCGTTTCAAATAAATATTTTATTTATTCAATGTTAAGAAATGTTTAATTATTTTATAGATTGCTGAAATTTTAAAACACAAAAAAGTTTCAAGGCACACATTTTCACTCCATACCTTTTTATCATTATTTTAGCACTTTCACTTCGTTTTCATATTTAGTATCATATTTCATAATTAAAGATCATACATGCAAGCTTTATACAGACCTTTTCATTTAGATATCTTTTATTAATAGGGTTTAACACCTTTCAAAATTTTCTGGAGGTTAATTAGCATAAAACTAGAATTTCCGATATGCTCTCTATGAACCGTGATGGCTCAGGGGACTGAGCGTTTGCCTCCAAATGAGGTGAACTGGGTTAGAATCCAAGCGATGGCTGGTCGATATGAATTCTTCACCCAGCTCAGCACCGACAGTAGTGCTGACGTAAAACATTTTCAGTAGTAAATGGATTATGAGTTAGATTCCCCTTGCCATCATGCTAAATGTGGAAAATTTTATGGGTTTTTCTTAACCATGTAACTCAAATGCGGGTTAGTTCCATCAATTAGTCCTCAACGAAGGCGAATTTTTTCTAATATTCTATCCAGGAACTCCCTTGTCTGCTAGATAGGGCTCAAAATTACAAGGCTGCGGAGTTGAAAAGTCGTAAACCCAAAACTAGATTGTCTGCTCAACGACGCTTGTAAAATCAAATGTCCTAACTATAAATAAAGACTCGTATCGAAAATATGACTATAGAGATAGTATTATTCCGAATCTATGCTAATTAAATTTTATTTTGCATTTTTCATTGCTGTGTGAATCAGTTTTGATATAATAAACAATAATATTTTCGTAAAGGTGATCTTTTAAGACTATAGTTATTTTTAAAAAAAATATTTATTATTATTGAATTCATATGGAAGCGTTATTTTATTTTTTCAAAACTTGAAGCACAGCCCATAGTTATTGCTGCAGTAATGTAAGTCGTTTTTGTTACATAAAATAAATTGCAAAACTACTTTTCATTTTCGAAAATAAATAATACAATCATAAATAGTCCTATATTATGGTGGGCCTGCTGTTTCTCAGTTAAGGACCTTCTTAAATTTGTTATAGATAACAACCTTCAATATCGTAGAAGGTGTTGTGTTATAGCCGAAAGTTTTTAAAGAATACCTTCAAAAACACACTAAACTATTTAGGATCTGATAATTAAGGATGGATCAAANACTTGAAGTACAGCCCATAGTTATTGCTGCAGTAATGTAAGTCATTTTTGTTACATAAAATAAATTGCAAAACTCCTTTTCATTTTCGAAAATAAATAATACAATCATTAATAGTCCTATATTATGGCTGGCCTGCTGTTTTTCAGTCAAGGACCTTCTTAAATTTGTTATAGATAACAACCTTCAATATCGTAGAAGGTGTTGTGTTATAGCCGAAAGTTTTTAAAGAATACCTTCAAAAACACACTAAACTGTTTAAGATCTGAAAATTAAAGATTGATCAAATCTAATAAATATTTTGAAGATTTCATAAGGCTTTTAGCTGTTAGATCTGCTAATAAAAAGATACTTGGCGCAGAATTTTCGTTAAACATATTTTTCATGCATCTTTCATTATTTTGTATCAATTTAGGTCAAAATATTATATTTAGCATTTTAAAAATATTTGGTTATGAAATACAGCATCGTTCTCCGGTGTCCCTTTTTAGTGTTAAAAGTAAAATTTTCTAAACAAGACCCTTCCAAACAGTAAATTTTCAAATTTGCACTAATTTGAAGCTATTTTGGTCTAAAAGAATCAGTCATTCATCATTGAGATATCACTAATTTAAAAAATCAATTTTTGATAAATTTTTGAATATGAGTGAAAAATTTGCTTTACAAACTACTTTCTTTAAAACAAATATAATTCGAGAATCTAACTAATATTTTTAGTAACTATTATACTGCTTTTTTATAATTAAAAAATAGCAAAATATATTTTTCTTGCAATTAGAATCTATATATAAAAGGGACACTGGTAAATTTTCTGCTCCGGCGGGATAATAAAACACCCTTATAATAAATAAAATTTAAAACACATCATTTTTCAAATAATTCTCTTCATATTTTCCAATATTCAAGCTTAGCATCAATTTATAAACATGTCCATTACATAATGAATCAGTTATTGCAAAAAAAAAGAAAAAGAACTGATTATTTTCTTTGGCATTAGTAGATTTCATTTGGCATTTTTTTATTATTTTTGAGAGAATTATTCCTCCCGACATCGGGTATAAAATGATATTTAAAAAAAAAAATCCAATAATTAATTTTTCTATAAGAATTCATCTCATAAAACAAGTTGCACATTTTTACTGAAAATAAGTACATATATGAGTCTTTGTATAAATTGATTAGTTTTGAGACGTCATTTTTTTTTAGTTAAAGACTGCAAGACAAATAAAATTGTTTATTAATGTAAAAATCCTTTTAGCGAAATTGTTTTAACTAATGAGTAAACAAAACAAGGAGTTAAGTTGCTTTGTGTTTACAAAATAAATATTGACTTTTAAATTTTTCCAGTATAATATAAGAAAGTTTGCTTTATTCGTAAACTTCGAGAGAAAAATATTAAAGTTTTCGATGTATTTTCCTGAAACTTACTGCTGAAATTTTAAAATACTAAGTATTAAGTGATAGTTAAGAGTCAAGTGTATTTTCCGTGTCTTATTTTAAGCGTTGCTTGAGAAACAGATACAGATTTCTTTTCGATGTTCCAATAATAGAAACAGTAGTGGAATGTAAGATGCAGAATTTGTAATAAAAATAAAAACTTAACTTTCACAATACATACACATTATTATGTAGTTAAAATAGTTTTAAAAGAGGCAGGGGTTTGTATATAGTCAAGTGTACTTTTGGTGTCGTAATTGAAACCTCTTTCTAAAATCAGACAGGGTTCGTGCGGTGCTTAAAAAAATTAAAAAGTGGTAACAAAAGTCAGAAAACGAGGTGCATTTTAACTCTTTTGTATTCTCCTGTAAGCTAAATATTTCTAAATGAAGATATCTGTAGCCACTATACTTGAAGTACCTCTTTTTAAATTGAAAGCTAATAAAAAAAAATCTTGAAACTTCTTTATAAAAATACTAACAGCATTTTTTAAATTTTTTAAGGATCTTATGAACTCTTATAAATCCTCTATATGTTTTCGAATAAAATGTACAATAATGGAATAAAAGATAAAGTATTTATAATTGAAACTAAAGCTGAAGTCTCATAATACATTCAAAAACACATTACTACCGATAAACTGCTTGTTAAAATAGCTTTAAAAAGACAGATGCTATAGTGTATAAAAAGTACTATTTGAACTTAATTCAATTAAAATAATTCAATTACGTCTAAGGAGCTCATATAGCTTTTTGGTATTTAAATTACCTCAAGGAAATTATATTAGGTACACATGTAACAGATGTAAAATAAATAGAATTTTCTTCAAATTGTTTTTCATCCTAATGATAAAGAGTGCCTCAAGAATAATTAAAAAGTTAATTAAAATTTGAATAAGCAGTTAAAACAATGAGAAATGGGATAAATGAATGTCTCGTTGTGTTTTACTTAGGAAGCCAGCTATTTATCTTCACCAAAATTCAATGTTTGACGCCAAATTCATCAATCGGTAGTACTGATAACTGAAAAAAATGCAAATAAACGGTTTTAAAATAACCGTAGCTTTTAGCAATAACGCTACACAATCTGAAAATAAAAATTAGTAGATGATTGTGCGAAAACTTCAATTAAAATAACCTGGCTTGCATCAGGAAACATTGTTTTATAATTCCTGAAAATTTATCTTTTGAGGAATTCTTCAACTGTTTTTGAAAATTGATGACCAAAGAAGCCAACCAGTGCTACTCTATCTCTTTTTCCTTATTTATTCATTTTTATTAAAGATAAGAAAAGCATAGAGGACAAATATACGAGCTTGTTTCTAAAATATAACTAAACACGTTTCTATGACACAATTGTTGTAGATATTAAGGACCAGGTAAAAAGGTTACTGTATTTTAAGAAAATATTGACACCTAAGAAATGCATTTAAAAAATATAATTTCATGAAGGAAAGAAAATGATTTTAACTTACTAATCGATCGTTTAGATACCAATTCAGTGTTGGAACTGGTTTAGATTTTGTAGACGAACAATTTAGATTTAGAAATTCTCCGACTCTGTATTGTGTCTCACCTCCAGTGATCAGTGGTCCATCCTTGGCAACAACAGCTGAAGTAAATTTGTAAAGTAAGACATGTATTCAAGATAGATAATTTTGTCTATAAAAGTTATTGGACAGTCTGCTATTTTAATAACATTCACAATCTAAATAAGATAAATTCAGCGAATTAGAAATAATAAAAAATATTCAATTTAAATGCAAATAAAATTAAAACAAGAAAATTAAAAAATATTGTTTAAAAAAAAAAAAAATTAAAAAAGCTAAACACATTAAAAAATTTTGATCGACGAAGGGCGATCACAGGTTACCCATTGGCGAATGCTTGTTTGTCCAGTTATCGTTCAAATGATGAAATTCTCTTTTATTCACAACTCAAAAGGTATTAATGGGATCTCTCTGGTCCATTATCTCAAAAACAAACTCACCAACTTAATGCATAACGAAATTAAAAGTGAAAAAATGTATTATAAAAAAACTATCAAGCAGCAGCCCTGTCGCCATAGCAACCCATGCAATGACGACGCATGCGCACTGTTTACTATTACTCTTGAACACAGATGAAAAGTGTGATGACGTTCAAGTAAGGTGCGCACGCCGTCAAACCCAAAACAACACCTATTTAAACAATGGGTAAAAAATGAAAAGTAATCAATAAGAAGAAGAATGCTAAAAAAAGTGCAATTATTTTAAGAAATGAAATGCTGCTGCGACGGTATTACAAACCAGTATGAAAAACGGCTATGACTATGGTTTTGTACTGATGAACAGTAATACTAATTACTGTTCAACACATAATTAATAGCACTTTAATCTAGAAAATAACGGGTTTGAGATCTCTTTATCATTCATAATTTGAATAAGATAATTTTGAGAAAATAAGAAATAATCATATTAAATGCAATACTCATATTAAATGCAAATTAAATAAAACAAAAAGGTTCAAAAGCATTCTTTTTAAAAAAGATATTTGAAAAAAATAAAAAAAACTAATCCTGAAAAACTAATAAGAATATTAAAAAAAGAGCAATCATTTTGAGAAATAAAAGGCGGCTGTGACGGCATTACAAACCGGTATAGAAAATCTGCTCTGGGTATGGTTTTATATTGTTGAGCATTAATAATTACTGTTCAACGCATAATTTTACTTTAGTCTAGAAAATGGAACTTTTGAAATCAGATCAAAAAATTTAAAACTCCAGAAATTAAAAACAAATAAATAAGTAAATAAATGTATAAATATGTAAGAAAACTTTCCGCGTTGGCAACAAGGAACAAAAAACTGAAATATCAAGTGAATTAGTAGTTATAAGCATGAAAAAAAAACACAAACATTTAATTTAAAATGGCATCTACTAAATATCAACATTTACTTTATAAAAGAACAGCGACATCTTACTTAAATGCAAGTGATTGTTCTTTAGACTTCTATTTTCAATTACTATAAAAGAACCTTTAGTTCATTACTTTTTTTGGTGATTTCCTTTAATTCATTATTTAGGAAAATTTCATTTTTACAAAAAAATTGCAATTGCGCATGTAATTTTTCAAAATAGCTCACTTTTACCTTGGTTTTTTTACTCTGTTTCATTGCTAATCAGATTTGAAACAATATTTTTTAATACTTTTTTTTCCTTCATTAGCTTTTTCCTTGGTTCTTATACAAACGAAATGCAGCTACAATCCGTTTAGGAAACGGTTAAAAAAAGTCACTTAACTGTTATTGAAGCCAGTGATACTTAGTTTGTAATTGTAATAGGTACTATAAGAATTGGTATCTAATATACTATTATAGGTACAATAATAGTAGACTTTTTCTACCGAACATATCGTACATAATACCGAAAAGTACATGAATGAAAGGTCTCACAATATATTTTTCATATTTTTATAATTTTATTTCAAAAATAACTCAAAACTGGCCTGAAATACAATAGTATCCATTGCAAAAGTAAGGCGAGCTCGCATTGCGTAGCAAACCGAAAGGAACTGAAAAAGAAGTTTCTGGGGTTGGTGAGCTCTTCAAGCTGATGCTAGTATTCCCAGTTTACAGATAATATAAAAATATCATGTATCAAACCTTTAAATAATTTATCTAAGCATTAAAAAGACACGAGTAAATATTTGTCAGTATATTTACTTTTCAGAAATAAGATATTTTTCTCACTCTATTATGGCTTGATCATAAATAAGTATCTCCAGAAATTGCTTAAATTGAAGTTCTTTTGTAAATATTTTATTAATTTGTTTCTTACTTGAAATCTGCCTCACTCCATTTGACGAAACGTGTAACGTAGTTGAAATTAAAAATCGTATACACGTATAGAGTCTAATTAAATTAAAAAAACAATATTATCGAGGAAGATATTTCGAAAAAATAACAAGTTCTTAACTGCTCATTTAATGCAAAACTCATTACACATTTCCATAAATGAATATTTTATTCTAATACAACTCTATTCAATTTGATTCAATGCTATAAATAAAAAAAGCAAAAAAAAAGCAAATCTTTTCGGTAATGAATACCAGTGCAATATTACTATATTGACTTTTTACCTATGAATAGATGAAAAAAAAAAACCTTTGATGAAAAAATTCTATAAATCAACTGGTTTTGCAAATGTACGGAATAATAAATGTGAGACGTCTTGTATCAGCCATTAACATTATTTACTAGTCTGGTACGTAAGAGTTCCCTTAATAAAAGTAATAGTTTTTTTCCTTGCTTTTGATTTATTGAGATGAATAGTAAACATATATTTTTGTCTTTTCTTAGCTAATAAACTAAAATATTCACCTCATAATAAGTAAATACTAGTTTTATAAGAAATTGATTTTATTTTTATAAAAGAAAGGAAACAATGTAACATAAAAGATGAAAAAAAGAAAAAGATAGAAAATTAGTTCATTTAAAGTAGTAAGATAAATAATCAATATAAAATTCTTATAAGCAATGTTGGTAACTGAGCAATTATTTTCTTCGAAAGAATTTTTTTAAAATCTGTTTTGGGTGCATAAAAGTGAAATAAGTCAACTGAAAATCTAAAAAAAATTATTTAAAGTTCTTCCAAATAAGCCAAATAATGTCTCTTAGAGAAAACATAATTAGTTCACAGTAAAGCAATGAATTTTGATTGCAAAATTTTCTTCCAATTAAATAAAAAAATATTACTTCTTGTGGTTAGAAATTACAAAATGATCTTAATAGTTTATTATTTTAAACAACAGCCAACCGTCCTTTTATCTATAACTATGTGAATGTACTGTGGAGTTACATAATTTAATCTCATGTGGTTTTAATTTATTTTAGCAAAAGATTTTTTATAGCTAAAATTATTTCTTATTTAGAAAAATTAAAATTACATTACTAAGCAACTGCATCAAATTGAATTTATTGATTTAATAACTGCACACTTACGCACACTTGATATTTTTTTATAGCTATTTGACAAAATTTAACAACGCTATGAAACTGCTATTGGATAATAAAAAAAAAATTAATAAAAAAACTCTAAGTTTTGACATGGCATTTAAATTTCAGAGTGCGCATTTTATATTATTCTTATACTTTGCAGCATCTTATATTAAATATTTTGTGTAATAATGAAGGATATTGCATAAATATTTCATAGCATAATTTGATATTTTCTAATCTTTTTCAAAGAAAAAAAGTCATTGTAATGCCGGAAAAGTATGCATAAGAAATACTGCTTTAAAAAAGAACTTCAAAACAGTTCTGTCGTAATTTTACTAGAGGATAAAATTAACAGAAACAGTAATGTTTCTATTTTTTCATTTAAAGAAAGTGAACAGAAATTACACAATTTCGAAGAGAAAAAACGCAAAATACGACATTATTTTTTTAACAAAAAATTATTTAAAAAAAAATTATATAAACTTTTGTTCTCAGGAAAAAAATTTTATTCAATTTTTTTTATATTATAAGTTGCATGTAAAACATAATAAAATCTTTCATCAGAAAGTTTCGATGATTCTTGAATATAGCTTTAAATATTATGTGCTATTTTCGGATATTTTTTTTTACCAGAAAAATATTTTTCCCTGTTCTTCTTCATTGAGCAACAGACTTGGCTTGGGCTTGACCTTCTACAAAATTACATTCTGTGCCATACTGTTCGTAACTAAGATTTTCCAGTTTGTTGTTCTAATATTTATAAGGTCTTTTCCAAGGCAGTCAGTACTCTTAAGATTTGGTTATCTCCTCTTACGGGTACCAGAGTGTTTCACCGCACTTAGGAAACAGTAAGATCAAAACTATTAGAATATGGTAATAATCTCTGGATCTATGAGAACACTATAAAGCTTGATAGTTTTTACAGAAGCGAATATTATTGGCTTAAATTAATAACCAAATATGGTTTTGTAATGGGTGACAAAATTTAGTAAATTTATCATGATGCCTAATGTATGGCATGAAAGCCATTATTCGGTGAAAATAACTTTCCAATTCTTTATTTTTTTACTCAATATGTCGTAATAAGAACTATCATTTGGAAAATTGGAAAATCCGGTAAACCGTTGCAGTGTGAATGGAAGATTATCAAATGAATGGTTCAAATACCATATATTTTGGTTTTATTACTCTTAATTATGTTTGTTTTTTTTTTGCCAGAAATATCATTACCATCAAGCAATGTAATTTTACAAGAATTTTTTATCTCCGAGCAAAAAGTCTTTTTTAGTACTTCGCCTGTATCCAATCTTATTCTTTTCTGCCAGTTTAACCCTGTGTACAGTAATACATTTAATGATGTCTGGCTCTTTAAACATCTAAGAGATTTCCGAATCTGTTTTTCTGCTCCAATAACTGTCACAGTTATTCATTCCTGAAAAATACTTTTCAATATTTTCCTTCCAAATATAGCAACAGTTCATTTTATATTTCTCGATCATTGTTTATGTTTCATAGGCATATACACCGAAGAGCCATTACATTATGACCACCCTGCTAATAACATGTAGGACCACCCTTAGCCCCCAAAACTGCTAACGCCCGCAGTGGCATTGANATTCAATTTGATTCAATGCTATTAATAAAAAAAGCAAATCTTTTCGGTAATGAATACCAGTGCAATATTACTATATTGACTTTTTACCTATGAATAGATGAAGAAAAAAAACCTTTGATGAAAAAATTCTATAAATCAACTGGTTTTGCAAATGTACGGAATAATAAATGTGAGACGTCTTGTATAAGCCATTAACATTATTTACTAGTCTGGTACGTAAGAGTTCCCTTAATAAAAGTAATAGTTTTTTTTCCTTGCTTTTGATTTATCGAGATGAATAGTAAACATATATTTTTGTCTTTCCTTAGCTAATAAACTAAAATATTCACCTTATAATAAGTAAGTACTAGTTTTATAAAAAATTGATTTTATTTTTATAAAGGAAAGGAAAAAATGTAACATAAATGATGAAAAAAAGGAAAAGATAGAAAATTAGTTCATTTGAGGTAGTAAGATAAGTAATCAATATAAAATTCTTATAAGCAATATTGGTAACAGAGCAATTATTTCCTTCGAAAGAATTTTTTAAAATCTATTTTGGGTGCGTAAAAGTTAAATAGGTCAACTGAAAATCTAAAAAAAAATTATTTCAAGTGCTTCCAAATATGCCAAATAGTGTCTCTTAGAGAAAACATAATTAGTTCGCAGTAATGCAAGGAATTTTGATTGCAAATTTTTCTTTCAATTAAATAAAAAAGTATTACTTCTAGTGATTAGAAATTAAAAAGTGATCTTAATAGTTTATTATTTTAACCAACAGTCAACCATTCTTTTATCCGTAACTATGTGATTGTACTGTGGAGTTATATAATGTAACCTCGTGTGGCTTAAATTTATTTTAGCTAAAATTATTTCTTATTTAGAAAAATTAAAATTACAATACGAAGCAACTGCATCAAATTGAATTTATTGATTTAAAAATTGCACACTTGATATTTTTTTGATAGTTATTTGACAATATTGGATAATAAATTGACCGCTATAATAAATTGAAATAATTTGACTGCTATTGGATAGTAAAAAAAATTAATACAAAAACTAAGTTTCGACATGGCATTTAAATTTCAGAGTGTACATTTTATATTACTCTTATACTTTGCGTCTCATTTCAAATATTTTGTGAAAGAATTAAGGATATTGCATAAATGTTTCATAGCATAATTTGATATTTTCAAATCTTTTTCAAAAAAAAAAAATTTTATTGTAATGCCGGAAAAGTATGCATAAAAAATACTGCTTTAAAAAAGAACTTCAGAACAGTTTTGTCGTAACTTGGCAAGAAGATAAAATAAACCGAAAAACATTAATGTTTTTATTTTTTTATTTAAAGAAAGTGAACAGAAATTACCCAATTTCGAAGAGAAAAAACGCAAAATACGACATTATTTTCTTATTGAAAAATTATTAAAAAGAACTATATTATCTTTTGCTCACAGGAAAAATGTTTTATTTAATTTTATCTTTTTATACTGTAAGTCGTATGTAAAACATAATAAAATCTTTCATCGGAAAGTTTCGATGATTTTTGAATATAGCTTTAAATATTATGTGCCTTTTTCGGATATTTTTTTTTTACCAGAAAAATATTTTTCCCTGTTCTTCTTCATTGAGCAACAGACTTGGCTTGAGCTTGACCTTCTACAAAATTACATTCTGTGCCATACTGTTCGTAACTAAGATTTTCCAGTTTGTTATTCTAATATTTATAAGGTCCTTTTTTTTTTTGGTTATCTCCTCTTATGGGTACCAGAGGGTTTCACCGCACTGAGGAAACAGTAAGATCAAAACTATTAGAATATGGTAATAATCTCTGGATCTATGAGAACACTATAAAGCTTGATAGTTTTTACAGAAGTGAATATTATTGACTTAAATTAATAACCAAATATGGTTTTGTAATGGGTGACAAAATTTAGTAAATGTGGTAAAATTTAATAAATTTATCATGATGCCTAATGTATGGCATGAAAGCCATTATTCGGTGAAAATAACTTTCCAATTCTTTATTTTTTTACTCAATGTGTCGTAATAAGAACTATCGTTTGGAAAATTGGAAAATCCGGTAAACCGCTGCTGTGTGAACGACAGATTATCAAATGAATGGTTCAGATACCATATATTTTGGTTTTATTACTCTTAATTATGTTTTTTTCTTGCCAGAAATATCATTACCATCAAGCAATGTAATTTTACAAGAATTTTTTTTCTCCGAGCAAAAAGTCTTTTTTAGTACTTCGCCTGTATCCAATCTTATTCTTTTCTGCCAGTTTAACCCTGTTTACAGTAATACATTTAATGATGTCTGGCTCTTTAAACATCTAAGAGATTTCCGAATCTGTTTTTCTGCTCCAATAACTGTCACAGTTATTCATTCCTGAAAAATACTTTTCAATATTTTCCTTCCAAATATAGCAACAGTTCATTTTATATTTCTCGATCATTGTTTATGTTTCATAGGCATATACACCGAAGAGCCATTACATTATGACCACCCTGCTAATAACATGTAGGACCACCCTTAGCCCCCAAAACTGCTAACGCCCGCCGTGGCATTGTTTCCACAAGGTGCTGATTGGTAGTCTGAGGTATCTAGTACCAAACGCTCAAAAACTGGTCCTGTAATTCCCTCACATTGCATGGGGGTAGAGTGACAGCACGATTTTGGTTTTCCAAGTAGGACCACAAATGCTCTATTGGATTAAGGTCAGGTGAATTTGGGGGCCAAGACATGACTTGAAAGTCACTGGAATGTTCCTCGAACCAATCCATGACAATTCGACCGTTACGACCCTTATGGTGCATTATCCAGTTGGTAAACACCATCCCCTGCAGGAAACACTGTTGCCATGGATGGGTGAACCTGGTCTGCAACTATGTTCAAGTAGCTTACAGACGTCAGGGATTGTTCTATGAGATTTATGGGTCCTAATGTGCCCCATGAAAACATTGTTCCTGGGCGAGAAACCATGAAAACCTGGGCGAGCCCATTGTTATAGATGGAGGGTGGTCATAATGTAATGGCTCTTCGGTGTATAAGGATGGATCTGATTTAAGTTCGGTAAGAAGTTAATTTGATTTTTCTACTGAAGAAATTAAATTTCGACTATTTTTGTCGTACAAAGAAACATATTTAAGAGGCTGTGACTCTATTTCGAATCTCTGGCGTTATTTCAACCAATATGTTAATTTAGAGCCTAAGTACTTGAAGATATTAAAGATTAATCTATAAAATATTTCTCTTGACCAGAAAATTATACCTCAAACTTGCATTTTTTTTAAAAAAAAATCATTTTATTTTTGAAAATATATAATTTTTAGAGTTCGAATCATAAAAAAGATATAGTGCATTATTCTCGTCGTTAAATAATTATGATTACATACTTAAGGTATTCATAGCGGCTGAAATTCCACTATATTTTTCACCAACAATCAACTCTTCACTGGAAGTTGAATATGTCTGAGAAAATGTTGCGATGCATCTTAGCGTAATAGCTCCTCCTTGAAACAGATGGTTGGGTTTGACCATGAACAATAGTCCTAAAATTGAAGTTTGCAATCCGTTGGGGTGTTCAATGTTGGGATAATGTATTTCCACATCTTTTTCCATCTAAAAATTAGACATATTCATTATGTTAAAAATTCTTTATTAAAACTCAAGCAAATGTTTATTAACCAGCATGAAAAATAAGAAATGTTGTTTAATTTTTAAAAACGTGAAAAAACTTTGAATTATAGAAAGACACAAGTTTTTAAGAACCATGAAGCACCTAAAATTTATTTTACTCTTCTCTAGTATCACTTAGTAATAATTAAAAACTTAATTTTCAGATATACGACACTATTCATTTCGGCACATTCTTCTGGCTGCTTACTTGTTGCAGATAACTGAAGTCATGTTAAACACATCTGAACAAAATTGCTCACAATGCAGTTATACTAAAAGATACTAAGATACGAAACGAAATTAAAAGATTTAAAAATCACCGGGGTGCTCCGAGTTCACGTTTGTTGATATTATAAAGAATTGGATTTTTAGAATATAAACAAGCTCTCACAAATAAAACTCTCCCTATTTAAAGATTCTGCCATCCCTCAGCTGTATTTTGCTAATTTTGTGAGTCATTTCGTCACAAAATCACGTGATTTGCGATGAGATGTGAACTCTCAAAATATATGACGAAATGTTTCTTTAACTTAGGGCCTCATCGCAATGCATTGTGAGAGAATGATAACTAGAATTTCGAAATTAGAATAAGAACTAAAAGATCGAAACTAGAACTATGACATAAGCTGGCTAGACTGTATGGTGGCCAATGAGTTGGTCTTATACCACAAGAAACCGCGTTTGGAGATCCAGCAGCCTTTTAGTCTCACACTATTAAAAAGTGTTATGAATGTGTCACAAAAATTCTCTCAACATCTTATAGAGTCCAAATAAATATGAATTAATTTAATGTTAAGAAATGGTGGCATGAACAACATATTGATTAATTTGTCGAAATCAATTATACTTAAAGTTAATTTTTGTATGTGTATCAAACCAAACGATATTTGAAATACAAAAATAAAATGGCTTTCACTTTAAAATTGAAAAAACAAATTTATGAACAAACCTACTGTTCAGCATTTGTTTTCTTTTTTATGGTATAAAATGTTAAGAATTTCACAATTTTGCCGTTCATTTTAGTTATTCCTTAAACAGTATAAGACATTGTCATTTAATTCTTACGGTTTAGTAACCTTTTAATAGTTTTTGTTTTATAAAATTTATCCTTTTCATCATATAAAATGAACCTTTGTATTTATAATTCAACGGACTTATTAACCCTCAAAGGTTCAATTTCGCATTATAAACAGCCATGCACTTTTACTTACTGGATCCAATCGAACACATATGATGTCTAAATTCCTTATTATTGTTTTATAAAACTTATTATTACCATGGTTGCAATTAATTCAAATATTATTAATTCAGCTATGAAAAATCAATATAATTAACCATTACAAACAATAACTTGAAATAATTCCGAATCGTTAAGGGTGAAATTAAATCATATAAGTATAGAGTGGGTAATCGAAACTTTTCTTAAAATATATTCATTCAAATTTAATATTTAATATGTTTTACTCATTGAAAATAGAATTAATGCAATGACACATCATTTACAATTCATAAATATCATCGACATTCCATTAATCTGTAAAAAAAAAAAAAAAAAATGTGAAATTCAAAAATACTGTTTTATTCCGACTTTTTTTAAATTTGTTTGTTCAATTTATAAGAAAGGTCAATAAACACTATTTATTGATTTTCTTCTTAGTTGGAAATTGATTTCTGACTGAAAATTGTTGAGTGTTGGTCAAGTAGTGGTCAGTGAGTCGGTGGGAGATCATGTTGATCAGCCTGCGGAAGAACCGATGGTGTTCGGTATCGGTCCTCGTTAAACTGTTTTACCGCAAAATGCGCAACTTAGCATTTTCGTCCTGGATGCTAAAGTAGAGGATTCATTATGTCTGAAGTGGATAAAAATTGTGATGATGGATCATCCTCAGAAATGTTCATCACCAATCATCAACATTGTGCAGCTCTAGTGCGACGTATATAAAGTACTACTACTGTTCTCAAATGTTATTCTGAACATTGAAATTTATCTTTTCAAGTCCAGTTAATTTTGAATCATCTTATTCTTCAATCATAAGAAACAAAGCCTGATAAATCTGTCTGCATCTTAAAAAGTAAAACTGTTAAAGATATCAATGAAAAATATCAAAGAAACTTGAGGTCCGCTTATCCAAGAAAATCTGATTTCTTCACAGATTCCTTGACTTTAAAGAAATGCACGCAAAATATCATCATGAAAATCGATTTCCGTGAGTCTGTGAAACTTTATCTATCTGGGAGTTTTTCTCGAAGATTTCAAAATCACATCAAAGATAATTGTCTTCGATTCTGCCTAGTCAACTGAAACTTTTAACAAAGATATTTGAATTTTAAGACTTTTCCATTCAAAGTGCATTAATAAAATTATAAATTGGTGCTAAAAAAGATTTTTTAGTTTTCGAGCAATTCATTGATTTTTTACCACAATGTTGCATGAAATCAATCAATTTATTTTCTGAAAATATTTTTTAATTAGCGTCTGAAATATCTTATTAACATACTGCAAAATAATCTATTGAATTTACTATGTATGCCAGCTGGAGTGCCAGTATAAAATTTATTTCCCTTGATTTTTAAACAGATAAGTACTGTTATTTTAACAACCAAACTCCGTTATTTTAACAATAAAAAACTTCCTTATTTTAGCAAAAAGAAACTCAATGAAATAACCATGTCAGCATTGCTGTGAATGTGAGCCAAAAGCATAATTCGCATTATCATCAACGCCGGGTTTCGAAACCAGGTTACCTCATTGTCAGCCGAGCTCTCAGTCACCTGAGTCCTTGCAGCTTTAGTTTTCAGTTATTTTTTTATTTTATTTTAAAACCGTCGTTGAACGGCCGACCCAATTTTCGGGTTTACGACAGCTAATGTTCAACTTCGCAACCTTGTAATTTTGAACTCAATTCAGAAAGCAAGGGAACTCCTAGATCAAATATCGGAAGAAATTTGCCATCATGGAGGACTTTTTGAGGCACTATCCCGCATTTTCGCTACATGGAGAGGAAGACCACGAGAACATCCCATGGTTAGCCTGACAGCAAAGGCACTCTAGTCCACTATCCGTCTATCACAAAGGATATTTCACGTCAGCACTGTGATCGGTGCAAGACGGATACGGAATTTGCATCGATCAGCCATCTATGAGATTCGAACCCGGTACACCTCATTGGAAGGCGAACGCTCTATCCTCTAAAGCATGGGCCGCCAAACTTTTTTGATCATCGACCCCTATATAATTTTTTCGAAATCTCCATCGACCCTCATAAAAGTAATTTTCTATTAATTTAAATAAAACTCTATTAGATACTATGTTTGTATATTTATTTTATAATTTTAAACATTTATTAAAGTAATAGTACATTGTGTAACAATAGTTTTATGTCAAATATATTAATGTTGAAATTTAAATACTTTAATATTTATTAAATAATAAGTAAATGTAAAAAAACAGAAATAATTAGTTAAGTAACTACAGATATATTGCTTCTTAATCTATGAGATGGGTGTGCCTGGTGTTTTTTCGCAAGGTTCGATATATTGGGTTCAAAATTTATCCATTTTAATCTTAAATCCCCTCGAAACTCCACATTTCTGCACTTAGTTAAGATTGAATTTACGTGATTGAAATCGGCTTTAACCATATAGGAACTTGGAAATGCTAGCATAAATGGCTGAGCTTTTCCGTAGCGTTTTACATATTTTTGCATTATATTTATATTTGTCCAAAATTTGATTATTGTTAAATTTTTAAAAAGTGTCTTTGCTGTAAGATCTGATAATAATTCAGGAAGCTCAAATTGCAGGTTGATGTCCCTATTACTTGTTTCACCCGAATAAATATACGTTTATTAATTTATATTCTATAAAGAAACTGATATTAAATCAATTATAAAAAAAAATTCGCAAATTTTACATACTCAATTAGGTATGTGTTATTTGCGTATTAAGAACTGTTTTTTCTTCGACCCCCAATCGACCCTTCCGATTCGGATCGATCCCCATTCAACCCCCTGGCTCAGATCAACCCCCGATTTTGTTAAATAGACCCCTCGGGGTCTATATAGACCACTTCGGCGATCTCTGCCCTAAAAGCATCACGGCTCTAGTATTCAGTTATGAAGAAAATTTTTTAACCGCCTTCATCTTAAATGTCTAACTTACTGAAGTCATATTTAAGTGTAAAAAACGCGAAAAATTAGATTGGCCAGTCCTTATAAAAATATCTTGTAAATTAAACTTACCGAAAAATTATACCTAAAGTCATATTATAACTCGGTAGAGTATCAATTTGAAAATAAAATCGAATATATATTTTATTTATACGATTTTCAAAAAAACTATAAAAAATATATAGATCAAGTATAAATAATCGTAAAATGATTCGAAAAAGGTAACCTTATGGTAATTGAAACTGTATGGCAAAATCTAGAATTTAAATTAGCAGTTTTAATCTGCTTATAATTAGAGTAAAAAACAGAGAAAAACTGTTTTGTGAAAATCAGCCTTAAACCTTGAAATACACAAGGAAAGTCATAAANATAATTTTTCGAAATCTCCATCGACCCCCATAAAAGTAATTTTCTATTAATTAAAATAAAATTCTATTATATACTGTGTTTGCACACTTATTTTATAATTTTAAACATTTATTAAAGTAATAATACATTGTGCAACAATAGTTTAATGAAAAATATATTAATGTTGAAATTTAAATATCTTAATATTTATTAAATAATAAGTAATTATAAATAAGTAAAGTAACTACAGACATATTGCTTCTTAATCATTCAGATGGGTGTGCCTGGTGTTTTTTCGCAAGGTTCGCTATATTGGGTTCAAAATTGATCAATTTTAATCTTAAATTCCCTCGAAACTCCACATTTAATTTACTTCTGTACTTAGTTAAGATTGAATTTACGTGACTGAAACCGGCTTCAACCATG